GCGACAGCTGCGGTCCAAGCTGGAGTCCAAGGACCCTGTCGCAGGGCTAAAACACCATGGCAGTGAAGGACGGGCCTGTGTTGTCTTGCAGCTGGCTTTTGTGCTGCACGGCTCCGGTCAAGGGACCCCCTCGCAGGGCTCAAACACCATGGCAGTGAAGGACGGAGCGGGCCCGCGGCCCGTAGCCCAGAGTGCCAAACGTTACTTTCTGAACCGACAAGAAACTGAGGTCCAAACCGTGACTTGACCCGCGACAGCTGCGGTCCAAGCTGGAGTCCAAGGACCCTGTCGCAGGGCTAAAACACCATGGCAGTGAAGGACGGGCCTGCGTTGTCTTGCAGCTGGCTTTTGTGCTGCACGGCTCCGGTCAAGGGACCCCCTCGCAGGGCTCAAACACCATGGCAGTGACGGACGGATTGGGCCCGCGGCCCGTAGCCCAGAGTGCCAAACGTTACTTTCTGAACCGACAAGAAACTGAGGTCCAAACCGTGACTTCCAAGGACCCTGTCGCAGGGCTAAAACACCATGGCAGTGAAGGACGTTTTGGCACCCGCGGCCCGTAGCCCAGAGTGCCAAACGTTACTTTCTGAACCGACAAGAAACTGAGGTCCAAACCGTGACTTTACCCGCGACAGCTGCGGTCCAAGCTGGAGTCCAAGGACCCTGTCGCAGGGCTAAAAAACCATGGCAGTGAAGGACGGGCCTGCGTTGTCTTGCAGCTGGCTTTTGTGCTGCACGGCTCCGGTCAAGGGACCCCCTCGCAGGGCTCAAACACCATGGCAGTGAAGGACGGAGCGGGCCCGCGGCCCGTAGCCCAGAGTGCCAAACGTTACTTTCTGAACCGACAAGAAACTGAGGTCCAAACCGTGACTTTACCCGCGACAGCTGCGGTCCAAGCTGGAGTCCAAGGACCCTGTCGCAGGGCTAAAACACCATGGCAGTGAAGGACGGGCCTGCGTTGTCTTGCAGCTGGCTTTTGTGTTGCACGGCTCCGGTCAAGGGACCCCCTCGCAGGGCTCAAACACCATGGCAGTGACGGACGGATTGGGCCCGCGGCCCGTAGCCCAGAGTGCCAAACGTTACTCTCAGAACCGACAAGAAACTGAGGTCCAAACCGTGACTTCCAAGGACCCTGTCGCAGGGCTAAAACACCATGGCAGTGAAGGACGGATTGGGCCCGCGGCCCGTAGCCCAGAGTGCCAAACCCAGAGTGCCAAACGTTACTTTCTGAACCGACAAGAAACTGAGGTCCAAACCGTGACTTCCAAGGACCCTGTCGCAGGGCTAAAACACCATGGCAGTGAAGGACGGATTGGGCCCGCGGCCCGTAGCCCAGAGTGCCAAACGTTACTTTCTGAACCGACAAGAAACTGAGGGCCAAACCGTGACTTTACCCGCGACAGCTGCGGTCCAAGCTGGAGTCCAAGGACCCTGTCGCAGGGCTAAAACACCATGGCAGTGAAGGACGGGCCTGCGTTGTCTTGCAGCTGGCTTTTGTGCTGCACGGCTCCGGTCAAGGGACCCCCTCGCAGGGTTCAAACACCATGGCAGTGAAGGACGGAGCGGGCCCGCGGCCCGTAGCCCAGAGTGCCAAACGTTACTTTCTGAACCGACAAGAAACTGAGGTCCAAACCGTGACTTTACCCGCGACAGCTGCGGTCCAAGCTGGAGTCCAAGGACCCTGTCGCAGTGCTAAAACACCATGGCAGTGAAGGACGGGCCTGCGTTGTCTTGCAGCTGGCTTTTGTGCTGCACGGCTCCGGTCAAGGGACCCCCTCGCAGGGCTCAAACACCATGGCAGTGACGGGGCCCGCGGCCCGTATCCCAGAGTGCCAAACGTTACTTTCTGAACCGACAAGAAACTGAGGTCCAAACCGTGACTTTACCCGCGACAGCTGCGGTCCAAGCTGGAGTCCAAGGACCCTGTCGCAGGGCTAAAACACCATGGCAGTGAAGGACGGGCCTGCGTTGTCTTGCAGCTGGCTTTTGTGCTGCACGGCTCCCTAGGGACCCCCTCGCAGGGCTCAAACACCATGGCAGTGAAGGACGGAGCGGGCCCGCGGCCCGTAGCCCAGAGTGCCAAACGTTACTTTCTGAACCGACAAGAAACTGAGGTCCAAACCGTGACTTTACCCGCGACAGCCGCGGTCCAAGCTGGAGTCCAAGGACCCTGTCGCAGGGCTAAAACACCATGGCAGTGAAGGACGGGCCTGCGTTGTCTTGCAGCTGGCTTTTGTGCTGCACGGCTCCGCTCAAGGGACCCCCTCGCAGGGCTCAAACACCATGGCAGTGACGGACGGATTGGGCCCGCGGCCCGTAGCCCAGAGTGCCAAACGTTACTCTCTGAACCGACAAGAAACTGAGGTCCAAACCGGTGACTTCCAAGGACCCTGTCGCAGGGCTAAAACACCATGGCAGTGAAGGACGGATTGGGCCCGCGGCCCGTAGCCCAGAGTGCCAAACGTTACTTTCTGGACCGACAAGAAACTGAGGTCCAGTCCAAGCTGGAGTCCAAGGACCCTGTCGCAGGGCTAAAACACCATGGCAGTGAAGGACGGGCCTGCGTTGTCTTGCAGCTGGCTTTTGTGCTGCACGGCTCCGGTCAAGGGACCCCCTCGCAGGGCTCAAACACCATGGCAGTAAAGGACGGAGCGGGCCCGCGGCCCGTAGCCCAGAGTGCCAAACGTTACTTTCTGAACCGACAAGAAACTGAGGTCCAAACCGTGACTTTACCCGCGACAGCTGCAGGTCCAAGCTGGAGTCAAGGACCCTGTCGCAGGGCTCTTTAAAACACCAGGGCAGTGAAGGACGGGCCGCGTTGTCTTGCAGCTGGCTTTTGGGCTGCACGGATCCGGTTAAAGGGACCCCCCGCAAGGGCTCCTTCAAACACCATGGCAGTGAGGAAGGATTGGGCCCGCGGCCCGTAGCCAGATGCCAAAAGGACTATCTGAACCGACAAGAAAATGAGGTCCAAACCGTGACCTTCTAAGGAACCTTGTCGCAGGGCCTTTAAAACACCATGGCAGTGAAGGACGTGATTGGGGCCCGCGGCCCCGTAGCCCAGCAGTTGCCAAAACCCAGAGTGCCAACGTATTTATGAACCGACAAAGAAACTGAGGTCCAAACAGTGGACTGCCAAGGAACCCTGTCGCAGGGCCTCTAAAAAACACCATGGCAGTGAAGGACGGAGCGGGCCCGCGGCCCGTAGCCCAGAGTGCCAAACGTTACTTTCTGAACCGACAAGAAACTGAGGTCCAAACCGGGACTTTACCCGCGACAGCTGCGGTCCAAGCTGGAGTCCAAGGACCCTGTCGCAGGGCTAAAACACCATGGCAGTGAAGGACGGGCCTGCGTTGTCTTGCAGCTGGCTTTTGTGCTGCACGGCTCCGGTCAAGGGACCCCCTCGCAGGGCTCAAACACCATGGCAGTGACGGACGGATTGGGCCCGCGGCCCGTAGCCCAGAGTGCCAAACGTTACTCTCTGAACCGACAAGAAACTGAGGTCCAAACCGTGACTTCCAAGGACCCTGTCGCAGGGCTAAAACACCATGGCAGTGAAGGACGGATTGGGCCCGCGGCCCGTAGCCCAGAGTGCCAAACGTTACTGAACCGAGAAACTGAGGTCCAAACCGTGACTGTACCCGCGACCGCTCCGGTCCAAGCTGGAGTCCAAGGACCCTGTAGCTGCAAACCTTGACTGTTTGACACGGTAGATGCAAAAGGGCGTCGGAGCCGGAAGCATTTACAACCAAGCTATTGCCTAGTGTTGCTTAGGGCTTGAAGCCACTTTTTCTCGGGCGCGCTCCCCCTGCAGATGGCTGGGGTCGGCGGATAAGTTTCAGCACTCATGTGAGCACTCCTCTTTTGAGACATCTGCATATGTTTTCCTCCGCTCACCCAGACATGTCAGAACATCCAACAAGAATTACGCACCACAGGAAATCCATAGAAACGAGCTCCAAACCTTGGAATTAGCCAGCCCTGCGGCTACCTGCTCGCAGCACCAAAACACCGTGGCAGCCAAGGACCTAGCAACAACATTTCTTCTCGGGCGCGCTCCCCCTGCAGTTTGCTGGGGTCGGCGGATATATATATGTTTTGTGATACCCATTCAATGGTTGAAACATATTGGGCGCTGTTTGGTTCCCCGTTGATTAGAGATAAACATGTCCGAACCGCGTGCACTAGGGTGTTGAAGAGCGAGTGGCAACCATGCTTGACGTCATTCAGACGAGGCGTGTTCCCATGTGATTCCCCACCACAGAATCCTCAGGAAGTTCTGTTTCATGTTTTCTTTCTTATTTGTGACCACACAAACATGGGGATCTAAGTCAAGATTCGTAAACACCACAGAAAAAAAAACACTTTATAAAGTTTATAGATGATCATAGTGTGAACCAATAATGTTTGGGGATTTTGACTGATTTTGACTTGCCATTCTCATTCACGGGCTTCTCCAAACCCGGGATTTCCGGCTCACTGATACTACCAGCATCTCGGAGAGCGATTTGTGTGAATTTGAGGTACAAAACATGCCGGCCGCATCAGTTTGAACCGTTAATTTTTGTAGTTTCCTTCCATACTCGGCGTTCTTTCGAAAGCCGGGCATGTGCTGGACGGTCCTAAGCGGGTTGCGATGCTGAACAAATGGTCACAAAGAATCAAGAGGATCTACCATCTGGTTATTTAACATAGCCATGGAAAGATCCACCATGCTATTAATAGGTAAACCATCTATTTCTATGGGCCATTTCCCATGGCTATGTTAAATAACCAGAGGATCTAAGGGGAATGGTTGTTTATTTCGAGTCTTACTGCCCCAGGCGATTTCAAACATATCGGATCTCGGTGGAAGCGCTAGGAACAGCGGTGTTTTGAGGCTTTCAAGTTGGCGACAAAACATCGGGGCACGGTATGGCCGTTTTTGGAAACATGTGGGTGAACCTATGTCAATGGCTTAATCGAATGTCATAAATGGAGAAGTACATCTAAGGTTGGCCATGATGCCATGGCATTCACATCACGTGGCACAACATGCCCGGCGGAACGCAAGGCTCTCCGAACGGTTTTCCAGCCTCCTTTCATCAGTGGATGCCTTGACCGACAGGTGCATTGGAGGAAAAATCGGGGGGAAGTTCAGAGTGCCACGATCCCCACATGTGTGGAAAATACCCAGAGGATCACAAAGAGCTCGAGAGGATTCACCACTACCTAACCATTCCACCAACATTCTAAGTCATACCTACGAAATGGGGCCAATAGGCGGCCAATACCTAGGAAATTTGGAGATGAACCGATGAACCTTCATTGAATCACTATTTCGATGTGAACAGCAGATTCGGTTTTGACCTCCATATTTCACCACGCACAATGTCATGCTCTGTTCTTAGAAGTTGGGTGAAAACTCCTCATTTACTATAGCGACCATATATCATGAGAATATCATGACATATCTACTATAAAGCCATATAAAGCCTAGAATTCGCCTATATAGCTATTTTCACCCACTTTGCAATTCCAAACTCGGGCATCACCTTGCTAAAATCCCCTTGGTTCCATCATTTAACATATTTAAGCATCATTTTATCATTTTTAAACGTATATTAATATATATATATATATATCATTTTGGTTGCTGAAATTCCATGAACAAATCCATGAAAAAACTCCAATTTGTGTGGATTTTTTCTGGCTCACAGGTGCATCAGCCTGGAGCTGGGGATCCAGCAGTTCAAAGGCTCAGTGCCTTCTCAACTGCAGGTGCCGAAAACGCCATGCGGCCACGGCATTGGAGAAAGGACATTGAATGGGATAGCGGAAAGGGAAGATCATGGTATAACCGTATTATAATTATACACTATTATAACTTAGTTCCAGGATATCCCATTAATATTATATATGTATATACCAACTAAGTTCCAAGAATTTCCATTAGTGGGATATCTGGAGATTTATTTGGAAATCGGCAATGTTTTTGCTACTTATTTTACATGGACGTAATCCAGTCATGTCAATTGGATGATTTTGGGACCTTCAGAGCTCACCGCAACGGTATTTGCTGCCTGAAGGACTCATGCAAGATGAGGCCCCCAAGTTGTATTTAAGTTGGTTTATAACTATCCGATAACAAATAGTATTATAGATGTATAACATTGTATATTGTTATAGTATTCATGAGGCTCCAGATTTATAAGATATTATAACCCCATGAATACTATCCGATAATATCGCGGTATCTCCCCCATAAACATCCATAAGCCCAAGCTATCGCCAAGATATATATCTGTAGCCTCACCTTGTACACCCGGACGGTCCCGCTGGGCTTGCCGTCGGATTTTCATCCGAATGCGCGTGTTTGAAAATAGGATCGCCCTAAACCTGATGTGTGTATCCTCCTCCTCCTCCTCCTTCTCCTCGTCGTCGTCATCGTCATCATCATCATCATCATCATCATCGAAATTGATATTTTGGGTGATACATCCGATGTTCAGACTCATCAAAATAGATAAAATAGATAAATAGGTCGTTGATGCGTTTGATCGAGTGACACTTATGAAGACAACGTTCAAAGTTTATTTGTGATCGGTTGTACTGCTTTTTGCCAGGGATTCCCACCGCATGGCCTTGCTTCAACAGGGTAGGACTGAACCTCCGATCAACCATCATTTCCGGGCTACATTGTTCATTTTGCAGGTTGCAGCCTCATTTTTCCTGTATGAATCCCCACAGTTTTTGGTGGATAAGATATGATAATATAAGATATGATAAGATATGATAAGATCATTGAAGATCTCCTGATTTTTCTTGACGTCTTTTTTCAATCTTCTGAAAAGATCTCCAGTTTTGCTTTTGAAGATCTTCACCTTCTGATCTGCCCCCCATGGCCAGGTGGAGATGACTTCCCTGAAGGAAGAGTCTGAGCCCCACCCAGCAGTTCTGGATCCAGCAGATGGTGACTTTTAGGGGATTTAATGGGGCTTAACCATCAACAATGGGGATTTGAATATAGATGGATATTGTGGGATGATATGGGATAGATAACCAACCAGAACTATTTGGGTGTATCTGAAAATGGAATATACCTCCCGATTATAGCCGTTTTAGTGGGAAAAAAAATATATATGTAATTATATGATATGTATCATTTTTAGATCAAACCCAACCTATTACAACAGGTACATGATAGCCACAAGGGGTGTTTTTTTGGAAATTAACCTCTCAATTCGTACCCAATGTACCTCTATTGTACATGTTGTGTTGGGCGCAACCTATATGATGTAATAAATGAGCTATATAATTTGCTTATTTACCACCAACTTCGCAAAACACAGGTCAGGATTTTTGTTCAAACATGATCGGTCTAGGCACATCACAGGAACCAACTTCGCCCTCGAAATATCTCGAAATGATGGTTGCTCAAACCACATCCAACATTTTGGGAAACCCAGAGTTTTCTGGTTGATTTGGTTGCTCGATGGAAACTCCAAAAGTGGATCCATAACGTCCTCACCAGGAATGATGGCTGAAAGCTAGGGGGAATGGGACGTGGTCTCCACAAGAAATCCTCTCGGGAAATCAGCTCTGCTTTTGGCACACCAAAAATGACCCATTCTTGGAGTTGCGGACTATTAGAATTGGGGTATAAGATTTATGGTACTATGAAGTGAGTTATAGTATTGTAGCCTAGAATCTAACTGCAGCTAAAAGTGTTGTTTTTATCGTGTCTGGTATCTCAATGTATAAATTGCAATGAAGTAAGTATATATACAATCTAGCAATTCCACTTAGCCATGGAAAAACAGTCATTTGTAGATGATTTATCTATGAAACATGGCTATGTGAAGGATTACATGAGGCTACATTCCAGTTGTCTGATTTCCCATTGATTTACCCTTCATCACATGGCACTGTACAATCCCCGAACGAGTCATAGAGGTTTCTGGCTGGCAAAACTGACAATGGGAGATTTTCCAGACCTTGAGTACCAGAGGGTAGCAGTTTTCCGGTCCTTTCTACTTGGAAGTGCAGTTCCAGTGTTCACTCAGCGGATATGTCACCAGAGTTTTTCGGAGGTTACATCCAGTGAAAAAAAATATATTTCACCGTTTTTTCACCTTAGTAATGTGACAACTTACCATAGAGGTTACATTACATCAAGTTTTCACTTCAACAAAAAGTGGAGATATCTTCACCATAGTTTCACCATTTCATTTTTCCGAGGTTTTGGATCCGATCCCAGCCATTTTTACATCACAGCCATTCTCTTTTCCACCTGAGACGATAGGTGAAATATATCCACTGGTAATTTAACATAGCTATGGAACATCACCATTTTTAATGGGAAAATCCACTATTTCAATGGCCATTTTCAATAGCTATTTTGACATAACCAGAGGGTATCCACTGAGGTTTTGGATCCCAGCCAGGTTTGTCCCAACTGATCATGGCTTTAGCTCGGTTTAGCTCGAGGTTGTCACAGCTGCTGGAGGACTTCAAGCACCAACAGCAGCAGAGTTTCAGCCAGGCGCCGGGTAGGGAAAACCCGTGGGAATTCTCTGCAAAAATCATCGGAAATCATCGGAAAATCACGGAAGTCATGGGAAATCCTGGGAATAAACTGAATAAATGGGAAGATTCCTCGAAACAGTCATGGGACATTCGGTGGAAATGGTGATTTGACTGGGATACAGCTGGAATATCACTGGGAATTTGAAAAACCATCTGGTCATTTGCTACAGTGTTACAGTTTGCTATGGAAGCCATGGCCCGCTTAGTTCGTTAATTCACCTGTTTAAATGCGCTTTATAGCTTTGTTACTTTACCAAAGGATAGCCGGAGAACCACCATTCTATTGGTGATTCGCCATCAATACAATCTATAGCCTCATAGTCTATATAGATAGTGCAACGGATATAACAGCGGAACATCGTTTTTATAACCCATCAATGATAGCCGAGGATAACCACAACCATCAACCACAATGGATGACCTCACTGCGACGTCATCGAAATCCCACGGGTAAATTTCCTCATAGTCCATGGAGAATGCTTTTCGGGGACATCCAGGAGCGCCCCCAGTTGTGCCCCCAGTTGTCTTCAACTGGTCATCTTCAGGGTTAAAAAGTCTAGATCATATTGAAACAGCCTCCAACTATTAGGTGTCAAGAAGTTTGAGCGACTGGTGTAAGTGGACAATTGGTTCCCGCAGAGGTGGATATCCATCGTTGTGGTTTCTTTCGCATCACCTCTGGATGGTTGGCGCAGATAATTTAACAACTGCTGTTTGGTGATGTTCAAATAGGACTTTTGACCATGATTGGAATCGGTAATTGAAGTTGTACCATGGCCTTTTGAGCTAAGTGGTGATTTGTGACTTTTGGAGGGTGAAGATGGTTGAAGGTTACTGCTGAACACGGGAGATTTGGGTAGCAAATATGGCAATACTGGAGGATTTACGTGAAATGTTGATTGGACAAACAGAAGTTCATCGTCTACAAATGACTGCATGGCAAATTGGATCATATTTCCAGGGACGCGGCTGAGCAGGGATGCAACTGTGGTTTAGGACCAACCCCAGGGTTGGTCCTACAGATGTGGATGACCGTTTGGATGTAACGGTTGTCATCCGCTTAAGGGTGAAATATTCAAGCTTCCCCAACCAGATTCTCACGTTCAATATAAAACTCAATATTTTTTGTTGAGGAGTTTGAACATACGTGGAGGAGATTGGAGACTGTCCCATTTCACCTTCAGATGTTTGTTGAAGGTTTCCCTTCAAGGGACCAGCTATCAATTGGTGTATACCTGTGCAATCCCACCGAGCTTTGTCATAACTACCATAAACATCCATAAACCCAGACGTTAACCCAGCGATTCGCACCAACTAAGTGTTCCGGAACTGGGGCACCAGCTAGTCTTTATGTGGTTCAGGGTGATGGGCACGGGCATTTCCGCTCCGTTGACCGCCTCACAACCAGGCTCGTGATTGAAAAATACATATCGTAGATATAGGTATATTAGCAGTATTTAAAAACATAAAATAGATGCTAATCAATGTTAATAGATGACTTAGCGGACTCTCATGCAATCTTGGTTCAAGCGCTGACATGACTGGAAGAGTTTGATTAATCACGACATGTGAGGTTGGAAGACGTGCAGTCCGCAACGCTCGCAGTGTTTAGGTCGGCCTTTACAGGCTCCATCTTGGAAATCGATTTGCCCAAATGTTCCAGGAAAAATAGAAGATCTTAAAGTAAGTTGGTGAACATAACTCCAATATTTATGGTTTATGATACTTATAACAATCTTATAACTATAGTTACACTGGATTGATGCTTCCAGAATTATTCCCCTCCTCTGTAAAGCCTCAGCATCTGCACGTTTCACCCCATGGGGTCGGGCGCCAGCGCGGCCAAAAGCCTCACGGACGATGCTGAAACGGCGTCGGCGTCGGTGCGCGACCTCAGCGACGACGACTTGGCGCGGGCGGAAGAATTTCTGGGCAGAGCGCAAAGGCCGGAGACGTAGAAAGCGGTTGTCTTTTCCCCTGCCAGGTCGGTGAGGGTCTCTAGATTTGATCAGAGTTGCTTCCGCCTTCTCGTCCTCATTCTTCTCCTCCTTGTTAACTGCGAGCTCCGGATCTCAGTGGGCACTGCCGGATCTCAACAGCGAGTGCAAGATCTCAGCAACACTGCCAGATCTCAGTGGGCACTGCCGGACTTCAGCCAGAGGCCAGAGAGAATGTCAGATAAAATGCCAGAAAGAATGTCAGAATATATTCGAGTAACTATGTCAGAATAGATGCCAGACAGAATCTCAGATAGAATATCACAGTATATGCCAGAAAGAATGTAAGATAGAATGTCAGAATAACTATGCCTTATATATACATATACATATATACTATACTCCCAGGTGGTATGTCAGAAACTATGCCAGAAAGTGAGGATCACTCCAACAAAAGTTAGTATTAGAGTGAACCAACATGAACCAACCCAAATTGAGGAGACTATGATGATTAATATGGTTTTAATCATAATCCACCAACTTTTTTGTTAACCAAAGTTTGGAGAGATGGTTAATATGGTGGAACAACTATATAGTATTTGTTTTTCTCCATCTCACTTTAAAGTAAATATCTGGTTGGTGGTTTGGAACATTTTTTTTTATTTTTCCATATATTGGGAATAATATACTCCCATTTGACTTTCATATTTTTCAGAGGGGTGGCGAAAAACCATCAACCAGAAAGTACATATATCATTTCCATCCATAATTGCTGATGGGTCCAATCCTGGTCGCCTTTATCAGACTTTAGCTGGAGCTGGACGTTCATAGGTTCTGATCCATCCCCAAACTTCCAGAGGGTATATATTTGCATTGCCACTTGTTACCATCGTTGTTATTTGTTATCATCCCCATCATTGTCAGAGTTGGTTGTAGACTTTCCTCTCCAGCCAAAGCCAGATTCAACTATTGTATATCATTGACTGATGTAAATCCCCATAATCCATATCTTTTCATTCAGAACCGTCAAATTATAGCATCTAACTTTGTGAACGAATAACAACGTTGTTACATTGTGTATATATATAATATCCATTGTATGCAGTTTTATCCTAAGCATTCCTGAATACATGTATATAGATATGTAGGATGATTAGCTTAATAATGGATATTCCATTGATTACCAGCCAATGTTCAATTAACTATTAATATATCCGTGACATGCTCCATAATTTGATGTTTATAGTTAATTTATCCACTTAATTGACCATTTTCATGGATATCTCAACCCATTTGATAAAAATAAATTCAGTTATAGCATTAACCTCCCGGTTTTCAATCACGGCGCGCTGGAAATTTCCAAGTCTTGGACCCAAATCATCACATGGTTGGTGGTTAATATCTGGTGAAAAATGTGATGGTTAATACTGGTTTTCATAGGGTTTTTGAACCAACAACAATGGGAATATGATTGAATATGATGGTTATATATCTGGTTGGTGGTTTGGAACATGGCTTTTATGACTTTCCATATATTGGGAATGTCATCATCCCAACTGACGAACTCATATTTTTCAGAGGGGTAGGTACACCACCACCAGATCACATGGTGGATATTGATCATTTTCAACTCTTGCAGCATGGACCCTTCTGCATTTGCCAAAGGCTAACTTCTCCGTAATAAGTCCACTATAACCCCGTAAATTGATATCTCAATCCCAGATATAACATATTCTCACTGTAACCCCCATAATAGCATTAACGTCTCCCAATAATGGTAATTATATACTATTCCAGTATTTTGCACATATCATATATATATATAATATGATATATATATAATATATAATATATAATATATATATAATTTAATATATTATATGCTGGATTAATAATCATTTAATCATTATGGAATTTTATCATATTCCAGTATGTTCCATCAATATTGGATTTATATACATATGTATATATATACATCTATATACATATATATATATATACATACATATGCATATATATACATATATATATATATGTATATATATATCCATTATTTATCATCTACTGGACTTCTCCATCCCACATTACCTAACGACAACTTCGATCCGCCAGAGGCTTGTAGCCCAGGAGCGCCGAGCACGGCAAAGCACCGGTGTTGGCGTCGCAGGATCTTCGGAGACGAACTTGGTGAACGTCCAAGGTGCTGGGGACCTTCAAGCTGGTGAAGACGACTTGAACTCCTGTGGCTGTGGATCAATACCTATATAAATAATGTGGTTAGGACAATAATTTTTACTAGCCATTTGGGAATGGAGTATACCACCTATCTATGGTGATTATGGTGGTTTGGGGTGGTTAGGGGGATGAACATCAATTTTAACCCTGCTATTTTTTTTTGTGAACAAAAAAGGGGTACAGGGTGACTTGACCCATCCTAAAATATCCGTGTGGGTTTTTTGATATGTGAAACTGATAAAAGTGATGTGAAACTGGTGAACAACTTAATTCAATCAGATTTAAACATGAATTAGAGATATAACAGGTGAAAACTGACATGGAAGATGGGGATATGAGAAGTCTATGTCACGGGAATATTATAGTGTGGAGACTCAACATCAATAGATATGAGGATCTAATCTGGATGTAATGGTATAATTTTGATACAGTGCAATCATGGGGATATCATGTAATCATAACAATCATAACATTTTTAACTGGTAGAAGCAAATCCAGAATGGTAAACTATCCAAGAAGCTTGACCAACAAATGATAGTGGAATTGACCAAAAACGGGTGATGGGAAGATGTCTTGGAGTTTATAATGGGATGTAGCAAACTTAACACATGTTTTGGTTATATCTGAAAATATTTGTTATGAGTCATTAAACGATAGGGGAATATTTGAAATTGTTCAACCAACTTGAGGGTATCCTATGATGCAGAAACACACCATAGGTCATGTGTGTTGGATTTGTTGTTCTTGACAAACATGATAGCTTAGGAGGACATATTAACATTCAGGTTGATCTGCTCTAAAAGTTGTTTTTCTTTACACATAATAGAATGGTAAGATGTGTTTCATGCAATGTTCATAACAATTGATGAGATTGTTGGGCGATTCTAGCACCGATGAGGACTTAAGCTGCCAATATGAGGCTTAGTGACTTAGCACAGCTATCACAGCTATCACATCACCAAAGTTTGGTGTTTCATGGCCAAGTCATGGCCCGGCAGACAGGACATAGTGAAACCATGGCCCCATAAAACAAAAAAACACACGGCCGTTTTCAAGATTCATGGCCTTCAACTACCCAAGACCATAGACCACATCTAACTTTCATTAGTTTTTTGTTTGTTTTTTTAAATAGACCTTGACAAATTAAGCCGATGATTGGATGTACCTCAGCACTTTTCACCAGTTCCCCGTTGTTTGAGCCCGAAGAGGCCTCGACGGATCTTCCTTCCAGCTGGAGGTGGATCCCAATGTCAGCGTGGAAGACGTGTCCAAACTCATTGCAGAGAAGATCGAGATGAAACCAGGTCGGCTTTGTGTCCAATGAGTTTATACATTATATGTTATATATTATAAATATACATATATATATATACACATACATTGTAATGTATAATTAATTATATATATTTATAATATAATATATGAGTTTATACAATTTATACTCTATTATATACTTATATAATATATTATAAGATATGTGTCTTTATTGTCTGCTTTGTGCTCAAAGATGACCAAAGATGTCAAAAGTACCCATGGTGACCAATGGTAACCAATGGTGACTGGTGTTGTGCTTGAAGCGATTCAACGAAAAACAACGCTGAGTTGGTAAACAGAACTCTAGTAACTCGGGTTTATGGATGTTTATGGTAGATATACCGAACTAGTTAATTCAATGATTTCAGGATCCTAAAATGGAGGTACTGTACCATATAAGGCCATATTTTGTGGTGATATTCACTTGCATTTTAGGGTCCTGAAATTCCCATTGATTAATGGTGGTGTTTTTGAAGCAATTTGAAACAGGAGGCCCCCGCCAGGCCCCACCTCGACTGGCCGATTGTCAACCTTAGAGACCCCAGAAATTCGTGCTGTAGCACTTCTCGCCATTAGAAGTGCTTCCGGGTCAAATGACAGGAACTTTAGCATACTTTAGTACTTTCATCTCCTGCTATTTTGGTGGATACGGTATACCCTATAAATGGAGGTCTTGATGGGACAATGACATGGAAATGCTTGATTGCCCACTAAGCCATGTTCGATTACCAGGTGGTATATACTAACCTGATGATGATTGATTGATGGCTGTGGGGCAGAGTAGCACAATTACTCGGGGGCTGGGAACTGAAGATGATGAATTTCCATGATTTAGAGGATTTGTAGCACTGAAGGTTAATGAACCAACCTTCAACCTTCCCACATATCAAATGATGCAACCGCTAGCTGTTCCCTGTGATATCACCAGGTCGGAGATTGGTGCTGTCTTCTGGTGGCAGTATCTTAGATGAGTCGCAGGAGCTGATGCAACAATTGGATGCTCGAGGGCCTCGAGAGCTCAGCTTTGTACTGACGCCTATCAACTTGCTTCAGGCTGCGAAGATCTTGTGGAAAGCCCTGGCAGTGGCAGAGACCAAGAACCGCTTGACTGCGGCAGATTTGAGTGCCATGAATGCCATTACCTCACTAACCTTTGGCGATGATTTTAATCAGAGTTTGACTGGTGCCATGTTGCCACGGAGCCTGAAGGTCCTCACTTTTGGGAGTGATTTCAATCATGGATTAGGACGTGTTGCGCTGCCAAGCAACTTGCAGACTTTGAACTTTGGTGAGTACTACAACCAGAGTTTGGCAGGCGTCAGATTGCCAAGCAGTGTGAAAACCTTGACGTTTGGTTCAACTTACAACCAAAGTCTGGCAGGAGTCACGCTACCAAACAGTTTGGAGACCTTGACTTTTGGTTGGAACTTTAACCAAAGCTTGGAAGGGGTCACCCTGCCAAACAGCATTCAGACATTGACGTTTGGCGAAATGTTCGATCAGGACTTGCGTGATTTCTCGCTCCCAAGTAGCCTACAAATTTTGACCTTTGGTACAAGTTTCGACCAGAGCTTGTCAGGTGTCACGCTGCCAGAAACTTTGCAGACCTTGACCTTTGGCGAAAGCTTTGATCAAAGTCTTGAAGGCGTCACGCTGCCAAGCGGCCTGCAGACTTTGACCTTTGGGGATCGTTTTGACCAGGGTCTTGGGAAAACCACGCTACCCAAAAAATTGCAGAGCCTGACTTTCGGCTGGAACTACAATCAGCCTTTAGATGGTGTGACGCTGCCAAACAGCTTGCAGACCTTGATATTTGGCGAAATGTTTGATCAGGACTTGCAGGGTGTCTTGCTCGGCAGTCTTCAAACCTTGACTTTCGGCGCAAGCTTCGACCAAAACCTGGCGCGTGTTTTGCCAAAGAATTTGCAAACTTTGACGCTTGGTTCAAACTTCCACCAGAGACTGTCAGGAGTTACACTGCCAAGCGGCTTGCAGACCTTGACGTTTGGTTCAAACTATGATGAGGCCCTGACAGATGTCATACTTCCAAGTGGCCTGCTCGCGTTGACGTTTGGGGAACAGTTTAACCAAAGTTTGGTAGGAGTCATGCTGCCAAACAGCTTGCAGACGCTGACTTTCGGTTGGAACTTTAATCAAAGTTTTGATGGTGTCACTCTGCCAAGCACCTTGCAGACTTTGATACTTGGCGAAATGTTTGATCGGGACTTGCAACATGCCGTTATGCCAAGTAGCCTGCAAACTTTGACATTTGGTACAAGTTTCGACCAGGGTTTGGCAGCTGTCTCGCTACCAAGCAGCCTGCAGACTTTGAACTTTGGCGAGAGTTTTGACCAGAGTTTGGTAGGCGTGGTGCTTCCAAACAGTTTGCAGACTTTGGTCTTCGGCGATCGCTTTAATCAAAGCTTGGCAGGAGTCACGTTGCCAGACAGCTTGGAGATCTTGACTTTTGGTTGGAACTTTAACCAAAGCTTGGAAGGGGCCACCCTGCCAAACAGCATTCAGACATTGACGTTTGGCGAGATGTTCGATCAGGACTTGCACTCGTTGCCAAGCAATCTGCACACCTTGGCTTTTGGGGCAAGTTTCAACCGAAGTTTGGCAGGTGTCGTTCTGCCCCAAAGTTTGCAGACCTTGACCTTTGGTTCAACTTACAACCAGAGATTAGAAGGCGTCACATTGCCAAGGAGCCTAAAGACTTTGACCTTTGGCGAAGAATTCAACCGGAGTTTGACAAAGGTGGCCTTGCCAGCTCTGGAGAGCTTGACCTTTGGGGTCGACTTCAACCAGGCTTTGGAAGACCTACCCAGCAGCTTAGAAACCTTGACCTTTGGGGACCAATTCAGCCCTTGGGACGATGACTTGGTGCTTGACAAGCTGCGGAACTTCAGTTGCCTCGGGTTCTCCATCAGATCGGAGCTGAAAAAACTCATGGCAACTGGTGCCAGGGTTGAGGCCAGGGTTGAAGCTGTTTGTTGATTAAAGGATGTTGAAGGTCTGAAGGTCCCCATGTTCTGGAGATTGTTGAGATAGTTGATTGATGATGTGATTATTCTGAACGTTCTCAAGATTTCGCAAGACTGTCCATGTTCCTTTTTTTGGTTCATTGTTCTGCAGATCGCCCGGATTATTGATCAACATCCCAGTTTTTTTCAAAAAGTCCTTGCAGCTTATCCATGCTTATCCCAAAACAAATGGCCCATGCATGTTCCACTATGTGTCTTATTGGTCATAAGAAGTGCAAGGTGAAAGTCGTTTCATCATGCAGGGCCAGCTATGGAAACAACAGCTCACTTAGAAAAGACCAAATACATCCAAATACCACGTGGTGTTTTTTTCTTTTGGAATTCAAATGATGTACTCCTTTGAGATTTTTGATCTCCTCATCAAGGATCATCAAGAAATAATATCATTGAACACATCACAACACATTTTTTTTGAGACAAACACCCAGCCGCAGCCCTCGGTTTCGTAACGGATCGTTGTTCGGAATTTTTGGTGGTCCTGAAACTTTTGGATTGATGGTGATCCGGCAATGATGTCCATGTCCGTGTATTTTCTGTCATATCTTCTATAAATCTGGGTAAATTATAACGACCTCACTGTTCTCCCTCACTGGAATCATGGTTAATAAGGGAAATCATCCCCAAATGGCCTTAATTCAGGTTAGTGAATTATTATAATTTACCCAGATAAATATCTACAAATCATCAAAAAAAACAATCATTGGACATGATTGGACATTGGGGGTCAATTTGCTACATCTTCGAAGGAACCAATGTGACCCAATGATCAGACGATCATATATACCGATTCTGATATATGAATACATGGGGGTTTCCATAAATGGGGGTACCCCAAATGGATGGTTTATAATGGAAAATCAATCTATAAATGGATGATTTGGGGTTGCCCCTATTTTAGGAAACCTCCATATACCATCTGGTTATTTAACATAGCCATGGAAAATTACCATTTTAATAGGTAAACCATCTATAAATGGGCCATTTTCCATGGCTATGTTAAATAACCAGAGGGTATATATACATACACATTATATCTTTTATAATATACATTACATAGACGGAGGGCCATCATGGCCCCATGCCGACTGCAGGAGGATGCCTTCCGACAACGATTGGAGGAGGCGAGTGACGGTGGATGGGTGATGTGAGGCGAGTGACTTTCAGACCGTTATACCTATGGTTTTCCGTTCGTAAAATGATCACATCTATGGCCTTGGGGTAAACTAACATAGATGTGGAAAATCCATGGTCCATTGGTGAGTATTTTGGGGATTTTACTACCTGGTTTATTGGGAATCACTACCATCCATAATGTGGTAAACCCAATAAACCATCGCCAAAATCACCATAAATGGGGGAGTATAAAGCATCCCCAAATGGTAGGTTTATTATTGGGTTTCCCACATTAATTGTTATTATGGACTGTGAAACATGCTGAATGTTATATTCAACAGCAAGATTAATAAATGGTAATTATATGAATAAGCCGAAGTGGTTGTGATACACAGATTGGGCATTGTGTGTCGCAATCCATGAACCGGGAAAGTCGGCCTCAACCAATAGAAGAGATGACAGAAAGTTTTAAGGCACCGTATAGTCTGCTCTGAGGTCGGATGGAATCCCCAAATATGGCTTTGGAGCAGGCATTTCCAACTGAACACTGATCTGGTTGGTGGCTTGGAACATTTTTTATTTTTCCATATATTGGGAAGAATCATCCCAACTGACTAATATTTTTCAGAGGTACAAAGCACCAACTAGTGATCATTGACATTTGGAGGTGTATGTTGGACAAGAGTAAGAGGGAGATTAAGGACTCAACACACACAAAATGCAAGTGACTAGAATGAGCTGCTTTGGGGTAACCAGCCTGGAAATTGATTCGTGCAGGCTCCATGTCTTAGGGGGGAACATGGATTGGTTTGAAGGCATAACTACTATATTTATGGATCATTGATACTGTGTCCCAATGGCAACTACCGTAAGGAAATATATCACAATATATTGTGTACGGGTCAGAGCCAGCCTTGGTAGCCTTTTTTTTGAACCAAAATAGCTTGCAAAATTTGAATGGGGATTCCTCGCTTCATCCCCCCAAAAAGGGTATGTTGTAGGGTGTGATTCATGGCCCCATTGAATATCAACTGAAACTGGTGCCATCCTGGCTAGAAACGGAGCATCCCATGCAGTCCTTGCAGCACCTTGCAGAAGGTTTTGTCTTCATGATTGGTGGTTCCCAAAGATAGAACAGTTATTCCAATAGTAAAAAGCAAAGGTAAAGGAAAAACATACTGTATTTCCCTCATCGTTTAAGATGTGTCATGTCCTTTCCATATGGATCTTCGATGCTAAGTCCCTGGGATTGGAGGTATTTAGGTCATAAAATCCAATATACTTTTGTTGGTTCCCAATTTGGCAAAATCACATGTTGTGCTTTGCGATAATACCAATTCCAGTGTTTATTGGTGTAAGCCCCACTGGTGACTGTGACCGGAAGGAACAACATAATATTTGTGTTGGTATCCCCTTAGCCTCTGGTAATTTGATATAGCTACGGAAAATCAACATTTTTCAGAATCAACATTTTTCATATATATAGGTAAATGTAAATCTAAACCATTGAACTTCTTAACGGGCCATTCTCAAAGCTTCAGCTATGAAGCCCCCCAGGGTGGTCTCAATGTTGACATGGAAATGCAAAAGGCGACCGTGGCGGAAGTGGAGAGACTAACCAGCACACAGCACAGTAGAAGGTTAAGATTCGCCACTATTATTCAGGGGTTTGTTAAATGTCCCTAATGTTTGAAATCACCCAACTAATGCATCTCCAACAGAGACTTTTTCAAGTGATGTTCAAAATCACCCAAAATCACCCAAAACAGGACATTTACAAACCTTTGTTCGTGGTTGGTGAACCCTTCAGAAGCTTGTTGTGGGTGGGGTGTTCTTTTGGATCACCTGACTGATGAACATTCGCATCACTGTTGGTAACTTTCTTCGTTGACAACCACTGCGAATGTCCAACAGTGTGACAAAACAAATATAGAATTGTGTATCCTATATTTGTATTTGATTGGTGGCTTGGAACATTTTGTTTCCATATATTGGGAATAATAATCCCAACTGACTAATATTTTTCAGCGGGGTTCAAACCACCAACCAGGAATTGTGTATCCTATATTTGTATCGATGATATGCACGCACACACACACACATCAGCAACAATATCCCAGTTGATGGCTGCATTTTTCCCCCTGCATCACTGTATGCGAGGTGGCAAGTGGTGAATATCCCACAGTAGTTGGTAATTTAACCTAAGTGCTGAATACGACCTATTTTTTGGGTTTCCTGTTATCCGACTATTACTAACCACCCAAATCCCACTAGAATGGAAACCTCACCAACCGTTGTACATGGTAAACTCAATTCCTGTTGAACTTCACAATAGTTGTCAACCAGCTATCTCTCTTGTTGGTGATGATGTGGTTCTATTTTGGTACATTTTTTGTTAGTTGACTCTTGGTGCTTGTAGAGCTGAAAAAACTTGCAAACTGCAAGATCTTGATGGTTAAACTACGACCGCAGTTGTGTATGATAAACTGAAAATTGATGTTTGTTTGTTGAACGTCCCCATTTGCAAATCTTTGGAACGTCCGAAAAATTGCAAGATCGTAGATGTTGGACGTCTTCACTAGATCACTAGATGTCATAATTTTGGAGGCTCAACATGACAATCACTGGGCAGAATTATGCCGGCTGTATGGTTGCCGAAACTAGCATGATGTGTTGGCGGATTATTTGAGCGATTCATGCTTGGTTACTTCTCGAATGGCTGACTGAACATTGTTAATTTTCCCAACTATAGATGGGGTCGGAGATGTGGATAGAGGTCCAGCTTGTGTGGGAACCAATGCGGGATGATTGGTTGATTGGTTGTGGTCTCTTTTTGCATCCCAGTTTTGGTTACCACTTAGTACTACTATCGTATTGAATGCAGTCATTTCTGGTTATACGCTTTCTATTTTCGAGGGATCAAAAGGTGAAGTTTCCCGGATGGCGATGGCCGCCGAACGTTCGGAATGTATGGATCTGTTTAGAGATCCAAACAACACTGGAGAGGTTAGGTGTTACCCTCTGGTAAACTAACATAGCTATGGAAAATCACCATTTTCATGGAAAAATCCACTATTTCTATGACCATTTTCAATAGCTATTTTGACATAACCAGAGGGTATAAATTGTTATAATAGATTCTCATTGAAGCAACAAAACAGAATTTCGAACGTGTTCTGTCAAGCTAAAAATCCATATCTTTGCTGGTGAACTCCTTGTACTTTGGCAAAAAACTACCCTCTGGTAAACGTTTACATAACTATAGAACGATCCACCATGTTATAGCTGGGTAAATCCACTATTTCGACTGTGCCATTTTCAATAGTTTGTTTCTATGTTTACCATATATAACACCATTTTTAATGGGAAAATCACCATTTTTAATGGGTAAGTCCCCCATGAAATCATGGTGAAAATAAACAACTGCCTCAGTGCCTCGAGCCGGGAGACTCTGGACGAAGTGCCAGGAGTTGACTCGCATCGAACGGCGAGCTGAGGCCCGGAGCCCCCGGAATCTAAGATATCTAAGTGGAGATACTACATAATATATATATATATAGAATATACATATAGAATATATATATATATAAAGAATATATATAGAGTATATATATATACATACCGTCTGGTTATTTAACGTAGCTATGGAGAATCATCATTTTTAATAGGTAAATCATCAAATATCATCTATAAATGGGCGATTTTCCATGGCTCTGTTAAATAACCAGAGGGAATCTATATCTATATCTATAATATATATATATCATATACATGATCCCCCTTGGTACCCATTTTTTTGAGATCTCAAGCTGATAGGTCCAGGGTGGATATCCCAACATAGAGAGTTATGTAGAATGGTTGTTACCCTCATTGGTCTTTGGAACGCACATCCAAGTGGGGGGGTATTACCCTCACGAAATTATCTATCCACGGATGCAGATGCTCATCAAAATCTCTGCACTGAATTTAATTTCTACAGGACAATCATGTTTGTTGAATTGGAACCAAAGCCCCTTACTTCTATACTTACACACTATCACGTTCAGTGCAATCCCATTGTTTTGACGCCCCAAAGGTTTTTTTTCACTTCAGACAGTTCTTATCTTCCACAATGCACTGCAATGGTGCCATGGCCCAAAGCGCCCACCTGAAAAAAAAATGTGCGTGTCCACCAGAAAGAATGAACATCACTTACCCAAATCTCAATTAGATACTCTAGAATCTAGACCTATACTATAGTATCTGTAGCTTCCCTAAGAAACTATAGTATCTTGACTAATTGATGGATTCATCATTCATCATTCCAACCTCTATAGCTTTAGAATGCTTTAGATCCATTATAATTACTATATCAAGATCAAGGTTCAATACAAAAAATCTTTTTTCGTAACTCCAAGAAATCCAGGCTTAGTATAATCCTGGGTGCTATTCCAAATTTGGGCGCAATGTCTTGGATAAATTTATTTACCCTCTGGTAATGACTAACATAGCTATTGAAAATGACCATTTATAGTTGATTTTCCCATTAAAAATGGTGATTTTCCATAGTTATGTAAACGTTTACCAGGGGGTATTGATTGCCTTCAATGGCCCGCAGTTGGAGTTTCCTGATCAGCACTGGTTCTGGGAGTCCCTGGTACACGTGGCAATGTGAAAAATTGATACAGCCTATATGATATACGATATGTATTCGATATATCCATAGTTTGATGGCTATACATTTCAGACTACAGATCTGATGATCTACCAATACAAACTATAGATACTATAGATACCAGGGAGAGATCTGCAATTAACAATTCGAATGGGAACAAAACTGGATTTACTAAAGACTGACCCATCAAACAAAGGGAAAGGATTTTCGGCCTCCTTTCCAATCCACACATCCTCTTCAGCTGATGCTGAGGCTCTGCAAGAGACGATCGACCAGTGGTGCACTCAGACTTGGACAATACCGTCTGGTTAACATGGTCATAGCTATTGAAAATGGCCATTTATAGTTGATTTACCCTTTAAAAATGATGATCTTCCATAGTTATGTGGCAGTTTACCAGAGGGTACCAGAGGGCCACAGATCACCAAAGGAAGCTGAGAAGATATTTTGAGTTTAAAACATTGCTGGAAAATCCCCTACAAATACCCTTGATTAGTGAAGATACCCTCAAGTTAATAGGACTTATCATCATCCCATTTAAGTTGGGATACCCTTCGATAATCAAACATTGCAATGGAAAATCCCCAAAAACATGGAGGTTTTCAGCTTGGAAACTCTACAAAGGGACCATTTTATCCATGTTACGTCATGCTACGTCTGACGACCAGAGGATAGTTCATTTTGCTCTTCAATGGTTTTTTTTCGCATAGTTTGTGCAAAACTTGGCAGGGTCAATGGGTCATTTTATGGGGATTTTTTAAAGTTGATATCCGACTAAGGGTTACAGTACGGTTCCAACCTCATAGATTTTTGGAAGCAGACCATTAAAATCCATTGAAATTAAACCATATTAAACCATATTAAACCACCAAGTAAAATCTTAACGCCCCATCCAAATGTGCGTTTTTTTGCAGTAGATTCCAGGCAGAGACATTTGTCATTGCTATTGAAGTGATAATTTCTACGACTCTTTAGGAAATAAATGACACACATATTGATAATATAGTGATAATACAGATGATAATACATATGATACAGATGATAAAGATGATACAGATGATAATACATATGATACAGATGATACAGATGATAATACATATGATACATATGATACAGATGATATTGAATAGTCATGGACTCAGTAATGACAATGTAACCTACGTCACTGCCGTAGGTTTGCGCCGGCTGAAGCCCTCGTGGAGAAACGTGCGCTTTGGCTGATTCTCGTGCGATATCTATTGATCGTTCTTGGAGGTACTAGCCATTCATTGTTATTGTGGATGATAATCCATTGTTATTGTTAATATTGTTATTGATTAGGTTGTACTAGCCATTGATTGTTCTGGTAGGAATGTTTATTGATATCTATTGATATCTATTGTTATTGTGGATGATTCCTACCCATAATAAGGATAATTATGAACCAACGAGTATAGATTCCCCAAAGGGACAGCAACTTTCCAACACGGAAATGATGGATGGAAATTGTGTTTTATTGAACGGGTCCATTGATTGTAGGGAATCATCCCAGGATGATCATGTAAATCAGGTTTTGGAATCATCAGAATTTACCATTTTGATCAATTTCATAGTCTTGCCATCTTTTGCTCAGAACAATCATAAAACTATATATCTATAAATGGGTCTAGATTTTGCCCAGAGAATACAATTTTGATAGGAGACGATCATTATTCCCTAGTTTATGTTGCAGATATGTATTTATCAGAAGTCCTGATAGTTATATATGGAGTATTTCATTTCATGTGAGCAGCGCCCAAAATACCAACTGGTATCAACTGATAGATTATTACACGGGTTGTGCGAGACTATTACACGGGTTATGCCACCTGGTTTATTGGGAATTACTATGACCATAGCATGACCCATTATCGTAAGCCCTATAAACCAGCCAGTATGATAGGACTATACCAATAAACAGGGCGTTGCATGGCTATAGATCTGCGTGTTTTTCATAGTGTTGATATGTTTTTCTCCAAATGTTACATCATGTTACTATGTTGATAAACCAGCCAGATGGGAATACATACCCTCTGGTAATTTAACATAGCTATTGAAAATGGCCATTTATAGTGAGTTTTCCCATTAAAAATGGTTATTTTTTATAGCTACGTTAGTTTACCAGAGGGTAATTTATAATACTTATATTCACTGATCATACCATCCCCCCAAACCACCGCACCCATAGACGAGAGTAGCTTGGAACTCATGCCTGCCTTTTTGGTCGCGAAACAAATTATGGTGAAATCATCATGAGCCCCCCATTTCTGTAGCTTGCGATGCGATTCTGCCATGTGATACCAATAAACTTTCAATAAACATCATTCGATATTGCTCAGTTGTTGACCAACATATAGGAGATTGGATGAATATACCAACATACCAATTATTTCCAACTGCCAACTATATGTTAGCTTAGATGATCATACCTGATACATCATTTTATGTCGGCTACTTCCCATCAGAATTGTGAATCTCCTCATTTTTTGTAGCTTCAATCATTTTTTCTGATTTTTTTCGAAAAAAAACACCAATGGCTCAAGTTAAACCCTAGTTTTTTGCCATTTATGGTCATGTTAAATCCCATTAGCTGGCATTTAAACCCATTATGTTTAGACCATTATTCCCAATGTTTTTTAAATCACCATTATTTCATTATTCCCATTATGTTTAGATCATTATTCAACGACATCAATCACAAATGGCTCAAGTTAAACATAGTTGAACCCCATTAAACCATGGTCTTCCCACGGTTTCCCATGGTTTTCCCAGGTTTTCCCCATGGTTTTCCCATGGTTTTCCCATGGCTTCCGGAAAAGCCCCGAGGCCTCGGCCCTGGATCAACTGGCGCAGCTCAGGGAGCAGTTGGACTTTGAGGCCGGGGCGATTTTGGGAGTTTCCATTGGGAAAATATGGTTACCATCTGGTGAAATGACTACCCTCTGGTAAACTAACATAGCTATTGAAAATGGCCATTTATAGTGGATTTACCCATTAAAAATGGTGATTTTCCATAGCTATGTTAAATTACCAGAGGGTAACATGGGGGATTGAACCATGATTTTTTATGAGATTTAATGGAATTGTTCATGGGATTTACCATCTGGTGAAATGACTAATTAACAACTAACATTTTGCGAACTGGAAAGATCCACCATGCATTTTTAAGAACGGTAAACCATCGAACTTTCTATGGGTCGTCATTTCCCATGGCTATGTTAGTCATAACCAGAGGGTAAACGATGGTTAAAACCAGGAATTGATGTATTTAGGTGATTTTATATGATTTTATGTGATCTTGATACGGTTGAATCAATGAACACTGGGATTTCACCAGAATTGCCGTAGGGCGAGGCTAGGTGTTGGATCTATGCCAAGGCTAGATCTTAGCTTTGAAACACAATTCCCCTGCATTCGCTGCTGCCACTGTCTCCTTTCATATCAATTTCCAACAATCCTTGAAAAGATAGAAAAGTGGAGCCCTTGCAAAATACTAAAATAGTTGCACGTAGCTCTTCTACCTTCTTGCGTGGGTTACTCTTTTTCCGACTACCAAAACAGAATGCTGACATTTCAAGCAGAACTGGAGCGCTACTTGTTCATTTCTAGTATAGCTGAATTGCTAGAAATATCCATTTAAAGCAAACCCCCAAAAAGATTGGAGAGTAAAACATGTAAAAACCCCAAAAAGCAGTGCTGAATCCATGTAAAATTGCATAAAATTAGTTTTTTCCTATTTTCTAGTAATACTCTTCAGTGTTTGCCAACACGGCGTGCTGGAAAATTCTTCATTTTGTAAATGACTTTCCCATCGAAACATTAATTTAGTTTGCGGATTTCCCTGCTTGCGAGAATAATTACCTGAATTTCTCACTAGTATAAACCTGCTAGTCATGAATATACATATAGAATGATATAGATATAAATTCATGTCTACACAGTGTATATATATATATTATATTAGATATTTCTATACATTATAACATATATATATACAGATTATATACACACTATTCATTATATATATACACCCTCTGGTAAACTAACATAGCTATGGAAAATCACCATTTTTAATGGGTAAATCCACTATAAATCACCATTTTCAATAGCTATGTTAGTTTACCAGAGGGTATATATTATTACACATTAATATATGGATGCACAGTACTACGTGTTCAACTGAACACGGCAGGCTCCGCAAAACGCTCCGCCAAGCCGCCAATCCGAGGTGTCCCAACGTCAGGCAGCAGATGATGAGGTGGGTCAGGCATGGACCGACGGGGCTGGTTCTGTTTTCGACTGGTTTTAGGGCGTGTGAAAGAATTGGTTAACATATTAACATATTGTTTTAGGGTATCATAGGATATCATATGATTCATATGATATATGTTTTACATACTACATATACATATATATATATATATATCGTAATATATCAATAAATGTATTTAATAATATGTATATATATATAATATACGGGATATGTCTGGTAATAAACCTATATGGGCGGTGGGATGAGTTCCGTTCTCATTGGACAACCCAAATTGGCAACCGGACACCACAGGTAGCCTCTGGTAAATTAACAGTTGGACCCTGAAAATAAGCAATTTTTAGTGGAACCTAATCTTCAAAACCCTATTTGTTTGGGTCTATGTTAATTTACTGGAGTGCAATTTCCATTATATGTTCCATGACACTTGTTTTTAACGGTCCTGTTCTTTCCCACCATGGTTATATGATTATGTGACATGGGTTGCTCCAAATCGTGCATCATATATGGTTTTCACACGCCAATCTCTAGAAAATCATGTGGAAACCATTGGATGGCATGAAACCCTTCGCCTTTGCCAGGCCATCAGTGATTACAGAACCACTCTGCTGCGTAGCTTGAGTGTCGCGCAGCGTAGTTACAACTGAGCGCAATGAACTGTGTATGGAATGCATTGCATAGTGCTTCGGATACCTTGGATATCCACGGGGTTCTGAAGATACTGAGGGTGTCACCTGACACAGTCATTTCGCGACCCAGGTTGGCTAATGTTGAAGCAAACGCGCAGTACCTGAAATGTGTCGTCAGTTTCAATCCAAGGGTCATGCTTTGGCTCAAGCGCTGAGTCCGGATGTGATTCCACAGTTTCAGTAACAGCAGACCCGCTTGTACAGGGTTGCTCCAAACAACTACAGGTGTATCATAGCCACAAGGGGGGTTTATTGGTCCTTTTACCTCTTCATTTACCAAATCTACATAGATTTACCCTCTCGTATTTGAGGTGTTGGCAGCAGCCCTGTTGTAGGTGATTTTCATGTGATATTCCTGTAAGAAAGTGATGATTTCTCAGGGTGCATTAGCTTTCAGGATTTCTCGAGGTATTTTTGCTTCATCTTGCAACGTATCCGCAGAGTTCTTTCAACATGGCAAATCCATACTCCACCCAGTTCCGTACATATAATATCATATAATTCAAATGAATAAGTCTAGGTCTAGATTGTATTTATACATATATATAATATATATATACATGATATAATAGAGATAATTCTTGAGCAGGATTGTCACCCCGCATTCTGGTAGACACAGCTCCGGAGTCAAGATGTGCATCATTGGACAAAGACGAAACTGGTGGCGCCTGCCTGGCAACGACGCCAACTGCCACTTGTAACGACATCTCCATTTTTGAGTACGAAAGACAGCTTGAAAATCTGTTATTTCTACTGCCAAGTTGAGATTTGGAAGGTCCTAAAGTGATGTACCATGAGTCATCAATTTGGAATCATTCATTGCGATTTGCTGTAATACAACCAAACCCTGCAAATGATTGTGATTTGTTGGGGAAAGCATCACACATCAAACACGGCTTCAAAGCAGGTTCAGCAATTCTTAAGAATTATCCATATCTTATCATATCTTCATGTTCAAACACATCACAACAAATCTTATTCTTTGGACCGCCAGTGATGCAGAAGTGAATGATGCCGTGAATTTTATCCAAAACATGCTGAATTGGAAACTCCCAATGGCTGTCCAACATCACATTTGTGGCAGTGGTCAGTGCAAGCAGCGTGTGGACAGAGGCAAGAACAAAACAATTGTTTGGGGCTGGGGTAGAACATGTATTGATGCGGAATTCACTATCAAATGAGATCAGAAAGATATTCAATGATCAATTATGCCATGAATTGAGCAACATCATTCTGGTGTGTTTCCACCCGAAACTTCTGAAAACTCGGAGAAAAGGTGGGAAATGGTGGGAACATGCAAAAAGCACAGCCAGCCCCTTCCAGTGCCACCTTTGATAGCGACCTCTTGGCCGTTTTTTCCACTCCAATCATATAATCATCCCCTAATAGACCACACTTTTCAGCTTTAGGTCTACTAGGGGCTTATTCACCAGCACAGATAAGTGGGGTGGGTCACCTTTGTGGGATTTGCCATGAAACAAAGCACACATAATTACTTGGATTTGTCAAAGACAGGGACAAATTAGAACAATCCAAGTAATTATAAATCAGAAAATGGAAATAAATAAGACAAATTAGAACAATCTGGCTAAATTAGAAGAACCTGATAAATTGACCAACAAACCAGAAATATACCATTTAGGTGCTATTTTAGCAGTGCGCTACTTGGGGTTTAACCAGTATATCCAGTTTCTTGCGCCAACATTGGCCCTGAAATTGATGACATCCGGAATGGGAATGTTGATACGGGTTGTAGTGTTGCGGACATCAATTCACTCAAGGCTAGTTTCCCCGAGTTCTATCAAATCAAGTTCATGGAGGACAATCAAGCTACCATCACGGTAATGTCCACCGGTTCATCAGCATCCATGAGACACATGAACAAAACCCAAAACATCAACTTCAAATGGTTGAAACAACAGTTTGAATGTAAACAGTTCGATCTCCTCAACGTTGGTACAAATTTCCAAGTTGCGGACATGCTCACAAAAGCCTTTACCCGACCAGCACTCTGGCAACATGCCATCAATCTCATTGGCATTGGCCCGACAAAGGTGGAAGAAGCAGCTCGCGACAACGCGATGCCGCCTACTGCCATGGTGCCGAAGTTAGCTACTGCTGCTGGGAATCAGGGGGGCCCAGAAAATAAATAGGTGCCCAGAATGTTGATCGAATTTTGCTGTTCAGCAGACTCAAAGTTCTCCTGCTGGAGTTCTTATAAGTCTATTGTTTGTCTTTGTTTTGTTATTTTTTGTTCCTTTACCTTTGATTTTCTCTTGTCGATTCTCCTGCTAGAGTTCTTATAAGTCTATTGTTTGTCTTTGTTTTTTCCTTTACCTGTGATTTCTCTTGAAGATTCCCCCGCTGGAGCTTCTAGATTCTATTGTTTGTCTTTGCTTTTCTGTTTGGCCCTGACTTTTCTCGGGGATTTTCCAGCTGGAGTTCCTGTGTTTCTTTTTACGCCTAAGGAGCGCAGGCGGATGGACGAGCGTCTTTGGGCACAGGCCCGCTTGCCACCGGCCCTGCGCAATGACACCGCCGGGGACGCTGCCCAGAAGTTCTGGGTGACGAACCTGGCAGGGACCGGGGGCTGCGCGGCCAGGTTCAGAGGAATCTGCGCCACCAAGTGTGGCGGGATTTCCTCTGAAGCTACTTGTCTTGAATAGCTGGCTGCCATCAGGTGACGGGGTTGAACTCTGACACTTTTGTTGCTGGTTTCAGCTGATTTCCCAAAAGAAATGATTAACTAGGCTGGGATCGTCTTACTAGCCAGACACACCTTATGACACTTCACGACACTCTACGCATCTGTATGTGAGCTACTTGCTGGTACCTACAACAAGGAAGACCTTGAGGTGTGCCCCACAGACCTCTATACCTTGGCGTTTCCCTTGCAATGTCTATTTCTTGCTTCTGTCCTGTATCAGTACAAATGCTTCACTGCGTCTCCTCAGCGTTCATCTTAACATCTTGGCATCTTGCCTCTTTCATCTTTCTCATGATCAGCCGCTACATTTTCCATCGTTATCATTGCCTTTTCTTCTACCTATAATGTACTTCTTTTGTCTACATACTTACCAGTAGTACCGCACAAGGCGGCGGCGGAATTTCAAAAATATGAAACCTATAGGAGAGGTTGGCTGTTGTGACCCACGGATGGCAGAGCGAATCCACTGATGAACCGAAAGGTGGTTGGAGTTGTGTTTTCTGGAGTGGTTGCAAGTAGTGGAGTTGTAGTTGTAAGTTGTAGTTGTAATGTAGTGTAATTAGTGTAGTGCAGTTGCAGTTGCAGTTGTAGTTGTGGTGTGGTGTAATTAGTGTAGTGTATTGTAGTGTACTGTAGTGTTGTGTACTGTAGCGTGGTATAGTGTAGTGTAGTCTAACGTATTGTAGTGTAAAGTAGTGTAAAGTAGTGTAAAGTAGTTTAACGTAGTGTAAAGTAGTGTAAAGTAGTGTAAAGTAGTGTAGCTGTAGTTGATGTGTAGTGTCGTGCAACGCAATGTAGTGGTAGTTGCAGTTGTAGTGTAATCTAATGTAATTAGTGTAGTGTAGTGTAGTGTTACGTAATGCAGTGTAGTTGAAGTTGTATTTGCATTTGTAGCTTCAATGCACTGCAGTTTAATTAGTGTATTGTAGTGTAAAGTAGTGTAGCTGTAATTGTAGTTGTAGCTGTGGTGGTGGTGGTGATGGTGGTGGTGGAGGTGGTGGTGGTGGTGGTAGTGGTGGTGGTGGTGGTGGTAGTAGTAGTAGTAGTAGTAGTAGTATATAGTATATAGTATATAGTATATAGTATATAGTATATAGTATATAGTATATAGTATATAGTATATAGTATATAGTATATAGTATATAGTATATAGTATGTAGTATGTAGTAGTAGTAGTAGTAGTAGTAGTAGTAGTAGTAGTAGTAGTAGTAGTAGTAGTAGTAGTAGTAGTAGTAGTAGTAGTAGTAGTAGTAGTTGTAGTTGTAGTTGTAGTTGTAGTTGTAGTTGTAGTTGCTGTTGTGGTAGTTGTAGTGTAGCGTAATGAGCTGGAATTAGATGTAATTAGTGTAGTGTAGTGTAATTAGTGTTGTGCAATGTAGCGTAGTATATTTGTACTTGTAGTTGTAGTAGTAGAGTGTAGTGGTACTTGTAGTTGTAGTCGCAGTTGTAGCGGTCCATCTATCTATCTGTCTACCTGCAAGCTTGAACACGCAGCTATTTTGCGAGACTACTTCAATGTTTGACGTTGACAACGTCAAAAGCGAAAATAATTCTGCAAGACTTCCTCACTTTTTGAACTTGACAACATCAAAAACGAAACAAGTCTGCGAGACTTCCTCATTTTTCGAAGTTGACAACATCAAAAACGAAACAATTCTGCGAGACTTCCTTCAAAAATGAAAAGTTGAGTGCAGAGCTGACAGCCTCGTGCCAATGCGTTTTGCGATTTTTGATTCCACCTGTCTAAACTACTGCGCCTGCCACGAAAAAGTGATACCGGGTCATACGAAGTGCTGCACCTGTCACGCAAAATCACCTCAGCAAACCTGAAGATCTGATGCTCCAAAATGCAGCCCCTCTCAGGAAATCAGCGCCCTGACCTCCTAACATCTCTGATGAACATGTATCTTGTACTGCGCCTGCTACGGAAAATGCATCTTTGCAGATCCTCGTCAAATGTCATCCTCTTCAAATGTCCCACGCTTGCCATCGTTTTTGGACATGTGACATGTTACAAAATCCCCACGTGTTGCTCACTTTTGACAAGGTGCACAATCCCTTGCGCCTGCCGCGCGAAACGACATCTGAACGTCCAAAAGTGCACGGTACCCCTCAGTTTTTTGCACTCTTGCCTTCGAAATAAGCTTCGCGCCACAACGGCGTGCACTTTTTCGACATCTCAACTTCTAAAAGTGCTCCGAAGCTGAGGTGGTTTGTACATTTTGACTTGGAAACGTGCTTCGCGCCACAG